AATTAAAAATGAGAACGGGGACGGGTACGGGTACGGGGCGGGTAAGTACATACCCGTACCCGTACCCGTACCCGATTCAATATATCGGGTTTTACCCGTACCCGTACCCGTACCCGGTCAAACCGGGTATTCCCCGTCAAAGTCGGGACGGGTTCGGGTATTACCCACGGATACGGGTATATTTGTCATCCCTAGTGACAATCATTATCACTTTGGCACCAGAAAAATTATTAGATTTTTTTTTTTATATATAACAACAATAATAAAAATCAACATAAATTTTCATCCATGTATTTTAAAATAATATTTATGAAAATTAGTATAGTAATTTCTTCATTCAATATCACATAAGATTATGTTATTATCAGTCATTTGAAACCTTATACAATATTAGTTAGAAATATTCTTATAAAAGTTAAGTGAATGTTTTTTAACAAAGTGAATATATATTTTTTTACAATAAAATAGATAAATATTACTTATTAGCGTTTAATTGGAACTTCTCTTTTGAAGATAGGTTTTTATCATTTTCATCCTCCTCCCACTCATCAAACTTCTTGAAGACATGCATTTTTATACTATTTACTCTTTTTTATGTTAATAGAATTATTGAAATTCATTAATGGTCTGTTGAAGAATATAAAAAGAAATATGTCTATAGTCTATAAAACCATCTTGAAACCAGTCGCCCTTGCAAGCTTGTAAAATTGTACTATTTACTTATATCTTAATTTATAACTAGATGTCCATAAGTTGTACAAGTTAAAAAAATGTATATATTGCATTTTAAGAAAATTAAAATTATGCTAAATTGTTATATTTAATAAATGTAAGATATAATTGAAATAACAAATACAAATAATAATTTTACGAGGGATGTATATATTTATCACAAATTAGAAAAAGATATTAAGATATTGAATTTTTTTTATTGTGATTTTAGTTTTTCAAGTTTATTGTATTATTAACATGATTTTTTAGAAAAATTAAAACAATTAAATTTTCATACTCTAATTCAATTATTATTAAATTATAAGAAGTATTAAAAAAAATTGAAATTAAGGATATAAAATGATGAACAAACTATTTGATGTGATAACCATTGTCACGTTGACAATTATAGATATAAATGATGAACAAACTATTTGATATGACAACCATTGTCATCTTGACGGTAGGAAAATTATTAGATTTTTTTATATATAACAACAACAATAAAAATCAACATAAGTTTTCATCCATTTATTTTAAAATAATATTTTATGAAAATTAGTATAATAATTTCTTCATTTGATATCACATTAAATTATGTTATAATCAGTCATTTGAAATCTTATACAATATTAGTTAGAAATATTTAGGGATGACAAAAATACCTGCATTCGCGGATATCTACGGGTAAAATCCACTACGGATAATAAAGTGAATATATATTTGAAATCAGTCATTTGATAAAGTGAATATATATTTTTTTTACAATAACAAAAAGATAAATATTACTTACTGACATTCTCCAAAATGTTAATAATTGTGCAATTTCTTTTTTAAAATAATTTATAAATAATTCAATTAAAAAAATAATTACATAATAATTATTATAGTATAATATTTATTAAATTTATTTAATATAAAACTCAATTTTATATTATTGTGTGTAAACCCGTGAAATTTGATTATCATTTTCAAAGTAACCTGTAAAAATAAAATAAATAGAAAAAGTTGAACAAAAAAATTATAATACAAAATGTTATTGAGAATCAAACTTACTTTTAATTATTTTTCTAAAATATTCGATGAACAAAATTTTCTTAAAAAGTAACTTTTATATTTATAGATTTTTTATTTTAGCATAATAAAATTTTTGAACTATTAAATAAAAAGTTACTAATACTTTTAATTATAAATAATTATTTGATAAATAAGATTATTTATAATAATTATTAATTGTTAATTATCAATAATTATATATTATTTTCATTTTTATAATTAATAATAATTAATTGTTATTTTTTATAAATCATATTTTAATTTAATTTAGTCTCTTAATTTATGATTAATTAATGTAATTAATAATATATATAATTACTGATAAAAGCATCAGTTTCTCTATTCTATATTAATTGTAGTAATTTTATAGTATTTTAATTTATAATTATTAGATTTTGACACAAAAATACATTTTGTTGCTTATAATTAATAATAATTACATAATATTTATTATCTTTTATTATTTTATAACAGATATTTTAATCAAATGTCTCTTAATTATCAATTAATGTAATTATTAATATATATAATTACTAATTAAATGTAATTTAAAATTATTAGTTATCTGATGAAAATAAAATTATATGACTTAATTAAATAAAGAAATGATTAAAACTGTAGTAATAAGAAAAAAAATATTCCCCAGTAGTTAATATATATATATATATATATAGATATATTGAGTTCTTGATGAAATTGTCACATATGAAATTGAGCACAATTTTGTAAAGAAATAGTCCGCTTGTTTCTCGAGAAGAGATGAGAAACATGCTCAATATCATTTGATTGAATAATTGACCCAACTCCTTATTGTTTGAAGAAACTCTCCACTTTCATTTGTATTTTTTCACGAAAAGCAAACATGAGATAATAAATTCAGTCTTTTACTAAGATTTTGAATAGTTGTCCCGAATTCAAGTTGATTATGTTTTGCCTCTTTCTCGGAGAAAGACAATCCAAAAATTTCAATCATAATCCTTACAGATCGAATCATCCATATCCATATAATAGAAGAAAAATAAAAAATAAAAAATAACAAATGAGAAATTCAAAAAAATATATTAAGTGATTTGATATAAAAGGACAACCAATATAATATTATAGAAAGTGTTATATATTATTTTTATTTTTAATTTCCAGTAAAAATAAAAGCAAATAAATTATATTGGTAATGAACATGCAAGTGACAATTCAACACTAACAAATTCGTTTTCCATAATTTTCTTGCAAAATTAATGATTGTATATTAAAAAATAATTTAAAATTCATGATTAATACATCAAATCCAGAAAGAAAGAAAAAAAATTAATGCACTTACTTTTATATCTTCTTTTTCACAATTTTGACATCTCTATTACACGTCGAAACAAAACACACATTGAAACAAAATATCAAAAATTCAATTTCATTATAATTCAATAACAAATCTCATATTAGTGTGAAAATTTGATAATAGTGAAAATAAAGGAAGAAAAAGTAATGTTTTCTATTTCTAACAAAGATTGACATGTGAGATGAAAATTAAATAGAGTGAAAGGTGAATTGAATAGAGCGTGAAGATGTATTATATAGAGGATAAAAGAGAATGGAATAGAAGATAAAGATTGAGAGAAATTGACACTATAAAATGAATTATCAAATCCCAAATTATGTGAAATCAAAATTGAGAAAAAAGATAAATAAAAATAGTACCTTTACCCATGATGATGATGGCTATAATGGGATGAAAATTAGACAATAGAGAAGTGAATTGAGAAAAAAGATTGAAAAAAATAGTACCCTTTTTATAATAATGATTGTAGTGAAATAAAATTAGACAATAGATGAGTGAGAGTTATGTGTAATCAAAATTGAGAAGAAGAAAAAAAGATGAAGAAAATAATTGTACCTTTCTGATGATGATGGTTGTAATGAGATGAAAATTAAACAATAGAGGAGTGAATCAATAAAAAAAATATAAAAATAAAATAAGATAAAAAAGATAAAGAAAAAATAGTACTTTTTTGATGATGATGATGATGATTCCATTGGGATGAAAATTAGACAATAAAGGAGTGAGAGTTGAATTAAATAAAATGCACAGTAGAGATGTTTTTCGATGATGATGATTATAGTGGGATGAAAATTAGATGACACATGAGTGAGTTGGATTGAATAGAATGCATAGGAAAGATATAATATATAGAGGGCAAATAAAAAATATAATAGAAGATAGAAGTGTAAAGAAATTGATGCATAGACAAATATGTTGACATGGCAATGTGTGAGATTGATTTTATAATGATGTGTCAATGTAATAGAGTATAACTTAACTTTTATATTATAAACAAATTGACTTCTCCTTCACCAAATTTAAGGCAAAACACTTGTCTTTTATACATGAACATTGAACACTTCTTTGTTTATATTTTTATCACATGTAACACCCCAATTTTCATAAATTATATGAAGGTATTATAGAAATTATTTTGATATTTAAATTTATTTTATAAATATTGTAGACACCTAATTTCATCCGGAGCATACAAACAATGGAATAAACTTCTATTATCAAGAAAAGGAGCTCCCAAAACATGGAAACAACTTGATATGACACCAGGAGACTCAAAAAGCCTTATAAAGACTGATTTAGTAACCTGGAACGGGCCGTTCCAACATGACAATTATGAGTTAAAACTCAACTCTAGAACGGGCCGTTCTGGTTTAAGAACGGACCATTTTGGTTTAAGAATGGGTTGTTCTAGATGCGAATTTAACACATGACAAATGGATCCAGAACGAGCCATCCTGGATATGAAACGGGCCGTTCTGGCCACTTTTGACGTCTATACATAACATACTCAGACACTACCAAAAGCAATTTACGCTTCTGACGTCGTTTTCTTCTACGCTCTCTGAAAATCAAGGAGAACCAAGAGAAGGAGACCAACAAGATTCTGTTATGACTTCATCTTCTGCTTATCAAGGTAAAGGGGAGTGAGAAATCTCACTCGAGGGTGTGGGAATAACTATTGGGTAGCAGGATTTGCCCCCAATCCCTTGCCTGATAGGAACAGACACTTTATAAAAGTTTTCTATTTTATTTTCTGAATGTTCTGTTGCGTTCCTTGTGTGATGTTGAGTGTAAAGATGTGTTTAATTTCAAAAATAGATAAGTTTTAATATGAATTAAAGTGCCTTGTGGAGATTATGTGAATATGATGAAACAATGTGAAAAGTGAATATGAGATATGAAATATTATGATATGTGACAATGAAACATGATATATATGACAAGTGAAATAATGAGTCCATGAGTTTGTGAATGTGTGACATGCATCATATGCATTTATGTGACAGGGTACGATATGAAGTACATCGTTAGGGAAGGCCCTCCAAGTATGAAACATCTTGGAGGAGTCCTAGCGGATAGTGCAATTTGGAAGGCCTAGTTTTACCCATTTGTGTGCATGAGATGTATCTTGCGCGACTTCACTATCCCGACGAGACCCTAGCAGTACATCCTTCTAGTTGCGAGTGCACGGTTGAGTCGGCATGTACTCCTAGACTACTCCAGGTATGTTGCTTCGACAGCATACCACGTGATATGTGATTATGAGACACGTGACTGACACAACATGCATGCATTTATGAGTCGAGTCCATGACATCATTGCATGATAAATGAGTGTGCATGTGATGCCAATTGTGTATGTGTGTTGTCTATATCTGATTGGTGCTTGTGACTTGTATTATGTTTTTTGTGTGTCTGTTGTCTAACTGTTATTTTTACACCTGAAATCGAGTGAGATGTTTCTCACTCCCCTGTTTGCTCTATGTGTATTTTGTGTGTTGCAGGTGATCATTAGCATGAGGATGTTGGTGATGAGGCTTAAGCTTCCATTAGGAGTGCTCTGATAGGATATGTGACATCGAGGCATAGTTAGGACTAGTTTAGGACTTTAGTTTCTTTCTTGTTTGGAAAACCTTTAACTTTATTTCTTTTGTACTTTTCGCAAGTGAACTATGATTATATATGTGAATGTGAATCCTTTACCTATTTGCTAATTGAGAAAGTTTTTATTCATTCAAATTTTATCTTACAATTATTGTGTATTATGTTGGGTAAAGGGTGTCACATCACACAATTTTTATCTTCAAATAATATTTTGTAGCCTTTTTCCAACAATTGAGCAACACTTAAAATTTTTTTTATTAACATTAGGATCATAAAAATATTAGATATTAATTTCAACTTGAATAACTTTTAATAACAATTGTTACTTTGCCTTTTATCCCAAGGTGTGTTTTATTTCTCATTTGGACTTTTAATATCAAATATCAATTTTGTTGAGATCTTTGAAAAGTTCTGGGCCATAAGTCATATGATTTTGTAAAATCACTATCAAAAATCCAAACCTTTGAGAGTTTCTCAATTGTAAAGCATGACATTGATAGTAATTGTTCTTTTTTCTCTTCTTGTTGATTTTTAGCAATGTTGACTTCTTATTGTTACTCGTGAGATTTGCATACATTTTTTACGTATCTTAATTACCTATACTTATAACATTTTGCATCAAGTCTCCACTAACATCTCTGTTGTAGATGATCAGTCTTTTTGCAATAAGGACACAATAGAAAATTTGAGTGCTATTATTTTGACATTTTCTTGAAACGATTTCTTCTTGTTTTTGTCATTATTGTTAATCCCAATGTTTTTTTTCTTCTTATTTATCTCATTAGATTATTGAAAATAAAACTCGTGTAATTCTGGTTTCTATTTGTTAAGTCAGACGAAGACGAAAGCAATATCCAGTAAGGTTTTAAATGAGACAAATATAATACATATTGTTATTCTAACATGTTAGTGTTTTATATATCAGTACAAGTAAACTGTTGAATAAAGAATATACATCCATACTAGAATCAAGGAGATGTGAAGCAAGCATTTGGATAAAGGCTGAGCAAAAGAAGGAACTACATCAGACGAAGACACCCACAAACTCAAACACAATTGAAATAAAGGACAAGAGCACAAGCAACCAAGATGAAGGAAAAAAGCTAACAAGACGATAGATGAAGAGATCAAACGATCAAACGGAATCAAGCCCAACACAAGAAGTAAAATAATGAAGCCTCAGATGATACAAGACCATGGACGATGGGCAAAACTAAGTTAAAGCACCATAGACAGAATCAAGTATCTACAACAATCAATCAGATAGAGACTCGAATACACAGCACGGAAGCTGGATTACGTTTGAAGACACAACGAGACAAACTACCTAACATCCATACTCTCAGAAGAACATATAGAGTCATTAAAGTATAAGAAGGAAGATAAGACAAATGGACGAGCGCTTATCCACAAATCAAAACAGTGTGTGTCAGAACAAGTACACCTACCAGACAGGAAAATATAACAACTTTAAAGCAACAGTACCAAGAAAGTACAAAAGATCTCGATAAGTGCAGATTCAACATGCGAACATTTAATGCAAGATCAAAGGAATTAAATGCAACAATCCACGAAGATTGTGCAAACTATATAAAAGAATCAGATGATGGTTAGTCAAGTATCAAAACAAAGTCTGCTCACAGATGGAAGAGAACTATCATCAGAATGAGACACTAAAGTATCAGACGAAGTCTATAAGGAAAAGTCAAGGCAAGACACGAACTAGAGGAAGATGAGACAAATGAAGCAAGAGACATAGGAAACCAAGCGTCAAAGAGATGGATAGTTGGAACACGAATATGCGCCAGACGATCAAAAAATACTCCGACAAAGACATGTCTAGTATAACTATCATAAAGCGCAAATTAGACGAAGGACAACACAGACTGAGAGACACTCCAGATGGAAATAATGTTTGTCTACTCACATTGTTAATCAGACCAAAGAAAAGTTCAGGCATTGAACTCAGACGTTGAGGCAAAAGTTAAGATTGAAAGGCACAGGACCAACAGACGAAGATGAAGACTGCCACGCAAGAAAATAAAGAATCATGCCTCAAGAAACAAGACAAAATGTCTCTATGAACATACCAAAGCTTTCAACGTAAAACGCGTACGAAGGAACAAAAGAAAAGAGAAACATGCAAAAGCAAAGCATGCATGTGTCAAAGAAAGTGATTACTTTTTCAAAAAAGGACAACGACTATATTGCTGCATGACCAGAAAAGACAACTAATTTCTAAAGTCAAACACTACAGCAACAACACAGAGAAGAATACACGCAATGTCTAAGAATAAGAAGTAACATTTAATGCAAGACCAAATGCATTAAATGAAAGGATCAAACTAGTTATGAATGACTATATTAGCTTCAACGGACATATGCAACGGGAAAATTTTACAGGCCTATAAATATGCAACAACATCAAACCAAAAAAGGTTAGGCAAGAAGCAACGAAAGAATGATTATATGCCTTGCCCTGGGCTTTTGATTGGAAGAAAAAGAGTGATATCAAGCCCACGAGACAGAGACCAGAGATGAGCATACATAGTCATATGTACAATGTAATATTGTATTTTTATCTCTATAGACTAAGGTGTTCGAAAACGTCAGTGATGGACTAAACCTTAGTGAGTGTTGTAAACTTATGTATCCTCTCCATGAGAGTAACCCACACACTCAAAATCTCTTTAAAACTAAGGTAGCAAACCGTAGTGAGTGTAGATCATATATGTATTCTCTCTGTGAGAGTAACCCAATACACTTGAACCCGACTATATACATCTATCCGTTGTAAAGCTTGAAGAGGCTAGGGAAAAAATACTTGTAAAGCCCGGAAGGGCTTGTCAAAGAATACTCATTGCTAGCCAGAAGTGGCTGATAAGAAAATACTAGCATTGGTGAGTGAAACCGACGGACTAGGAGTGGTCGAAAATACTTGGGTAACTAGAAGTAGTTTAAGAATACTAGCGTTGGTGAGTAAAGCCGACGGGCCAGGAATGGTCAAGAATACTTGAAGAACCAGAAGTGGTTTAAGAATACTAGCGCTGATGAGTGAAGCTGGCGGGCCAGGAGTGGTCGAGAATACTTGGGCCAGCAGTGGTCGAGAATACTTGGACTAGGAGTGGTTCTAACTTGGATGGTTCATAATACTCACTGCTAGCCTGAAGAGACTAAGAAGAATATACTAGCATTGATGAGTGAAGTCAACGGGTCAGAAGTGGTCGATAATACTTTTGTATTGAATTTCATATCTAGTGGAACCCTTCAAGTTGAAGGAGACTGGACGTAGCTCAGTTGAGTGAACCAGAATAAAATGATTGCATTCCTTACTTACTTAGACGCAAATTTTCCTTATTGATGAAACCTTTGAGAAAGACTTCGTCTAACGTTTATATATCTTTAGAAACAACTTTTAGACGAAGACGCCAACCTTGCTTAACAGACTTATTGCACTGAAAGTTTCATCTGCCACTTTTCCTTAAACGAAACCATTTTGAAAAGGAAATGTAAGAACTTAAATTAATACCTTTACAGAACATTTTCTCTAGTGGACGATAAATCCTTCAGACGCATTGATAGTAAGTTAAGCAAACTTTGGTTAATCGTCTGGTATTCAAAAGTGCAATGAACGAAGAGCACTACCGTTGCAAAAACGTTTATAAAATACCTTTGTTCACACAAACACATATTCAACCCCCCTTCTATGTGTATTTCCGCTAACCTCACTATTTTCCTATTTCAACTTCAATCTCTTCTTAAACTACTTTACAACTTATCTCTTAGTTTTCAAGTCTCCTAACAATAAACAACACAACAAATATCATAAAATAAATTATATAATCAAACAATTTACATATACAAAAAACCATGGTGTTACATAGGTGGAAGTGAAATTTTGATTTTTTTATAATGAAAATAAGTATTTTATATAATTAAAAATATATTTAATATTTAT